GTGAAAATTTCATAATGTTTTGGTGATATTAATTATTGGCATTTATCTATAATTATATCGAAATCGAATACTTGTCTTCAGATTTGTTTAACAATAAGAAGTATTTACATGTATTTAAAATCTTTCACTTTGATCTGTCACTATTTTTGTGATGCATTAACCTCATTGCTCTTTTTGGAAGTCGAGTTTCATTTCACGTTAACAAGAATATTACTGGTAGTTCAAAGTTGTACAGAAGCCTATATAGATACAAAGGTCAGAGTTAAAGACGAACGTCAGTAAGAGCTTTGATAAAATTTCGATATTAAACTCATTTTTAACACTAAATAGGCTCTACATCACATTATTCAAAATTCATTTCTCAATATGGCAATGTACAAAATGCAACCCTGAGTACGTTAATAGCCGAGATATTACACTATTTCTGACAACCTATAAATCTCCAAAATTTTTCCACAATTCGAAAGTCTAAGACCTCCGGTTTGTCTAAAAGCCACCTAGCGACAGACCGGTTGCTCCCAGGCTGATAAATTGGGCCCAGATTTTTCTATGTCAGCACTACGTGGCCCCGAAAGGATAAGAAATGGCGGTAATCATGCAGGCAATAAAACTCTGTTAATATCACGAGACCAATTTCCACTTTCCCAGAACCCGTAATGTGGTACCTACTTGTTTCAGAAGCTTGTACTAAGATCTGGAAATGTTGTGATTGTTCAAAAGTAACAATACAACATGAACATGTACTTTCAGTTTCAACTTTCACAAGTCCTTAGTACTCACTGTGCTGAAAAATAACATTCAGACACGTACATGTACTTTCAGTTTGACCTATATTACTATACTGTAGTACTCACTGTTATTTATGTCAGTGGCAGTACATGTACCTCAGTTTCAGTTCTAAAACGTACAGGTACTTTCTGTGTGGACTCGGTGCTGTTTCTAAGTTAAATAACAGTCAGTAACAGCTCTCTAGTTAACGGTAGATGTCTTTTTCTGGTTATCTCTGTCTAATTGCTGCTGGCGCGTCGGAGTTCTGTAGTCAACATCAAAGCTTATCGTCTCTAGACAAATATTGTATCAGGCCGCGCTCACGTACCCCATTTCAGGCAGAACTAGCATACATGATATTCATCATAAGTTTTCACAAATTACAGTTCTTAATAAACCCATTGAGATATTGTGCTTTGTTAAGTTCTTATCGTTCTGAATTGTATTGTATTCAATAGATCAACAACACTGAAAGAAACAGGTGTTACAATAATTGGTGGAACTATTTTTTCACGATCAAATTAAAAACTATATATCACGGATGTGATTTTCTAAGCCGCCAGACACTGTAAACAAGTTTGTTTTTTTAAAATAAATTATTGTCTGGATTCCATGTACATGTTTTAAAGACTTACTGATAAAATTGGCCTTTCCTAAATATTTTATTTGTTTTTAATTGTTAAATTAAAAACAACCACTCCAAGTTTTTTTCAGCAGAGGAGGGGGTAATGAATGACGTCATGAGCAGCAACTTGGCCCGACTGAACGACAAACAGCCCAGCAGACAGGTGTGGAGAAATAACCTGGAAACCTGTTTACAATGGACATTTACATGGGAATTGATGAGTCAACAATTCAGGATTTAGGAGGGGGGCGGCAGGGGGGGGCCTCCCCCCCCCCCCCCCCCCCCTTAGGTTTCTGAAAATAAATCATACAGATAGTCCCCTCTTGAAATTAGCTGACTAGCTGAATCATAGCTCTCAAGCATACCAAATGACACTGTTTGCCTGCAAATCACCTATATTTTCCAAGGACCTCAAGCGGGTCCTCGTACCCTTGCCAAGGGATGCGAGGGTCGGCTTTCCATGCAAGGCCTGTCATTACTAAAAAAAAGCCCACCCCCTCAAATAATCCTGAATCAGCCCCTTCGGTATAGCAATTAAGCACGTGTAATGTGTTTAAGAAAATGCTTTTGTTTCTTTTTGTTTGGCTTTTCAGTAACGCAATTCCATGTTTCTTTTTCACTGGCTTAAACTTCATACTTTAAGAAATGCTATATGTGCAGTAATAACCAGGCCGCTTTTTTGTATTCTACTCAATGCCAAGAGACGTGTTTTAACACAGATTAAAATCTGTTCAACTGATTGCATTCAGCAACAGTCCCCAACAAGTTGGATTGAACAACATAGACTGATTGTTTCACTGGGAATGTGCCCTTCAACTTAATTTTTACTTTAGAAAACCTGTATGTGCATGGAAATTGCCATGAAAAAAAATTAAATTAAAAAAGTCAGTTTGTTTACTTTAAATTATTTATTAATTCCTTTATTTTCTTGCTGTACAAATCCTGCGGGAAGAACACTGGTCAAGAGGTATCCGTGACTTTAAATAAATACCAACCAAGTGGACACGTGGACCAGTAACAAAAGTGATGAACAGAAGACTGTAGACATGTTCCTGCTAAGTTGCCACCATTCTGAATACATGTTGATCAAATATGATGTATAAAAATCCCAGTCTAGTTGTGACTTTGAGTATATAATGATAAAATATATAGTATGTCTTATCCATAGACATCATCTACATTAACTTGCCTAGTTTTATAAGAATAAAGCATTTAAGACATCTAAACTGTCTTTTGTCAACAAATTAAAAAAAATAATAATAATAATTTCAGAGACAGACAAGTTCACATCTTAGCACAGCATAATCCAAACCTTCACACAGCAGATGGAGTGGACTTTTTTTACACACTTTCCTAAAATCTAACCAATACTACTTCACTTGTTCCATTTTCTAGAACAAACAAAGCCAGCTCAATATAACTTGTATATATAGTTGTGACCAATTCTTGCAGTTCAAACCCCTCATGGCAAGACTTGATATTGGCATTTGAGCAACTATCAAAGGGTTTTTAGCACCTGAATGGAGCTGCAAGAAAGGGGAACCTGGGTGCTGCATGCCTTGACTTTATGACCAGTAACCAGATCTATCTCACCTTAGGACAGACAACATTGATAGATGTTGGTTTATGACCACCGCCAAACAAAATCTAGAGGAAAATCAGCCCTAAAATTAAGCTGATATGCTCTTTAAATAATGCACATTTTAAAACCAAAAATGTTATCTACCAAATGTTTACAAAATGTTTCTGCTCCTGAGTGAACTTATCAAATGTTATTATTTAAGACTTTCATTCAACTGGCCAAAATGTATACAAGACATGCTGACATAAATCTAACAATCTTTATATTTGAAGATCAATTTTTAATACATGGTAGATGGCATCAGACTTCCTCATAAATTTATGAATCCTAAACTTGATATAATTTCCTTCTACTTCTATATTTCCCAGTACATACATCTAGTCCACTCCATCTGTGCTATGTATTGTATAACAAAGAATTCATCCACTACAAACAGAGATATTTGTTTCATACTACAACTTGGGAACAACATGATACAAATACCTCTGGTACAGGGACAGTTTGACTGTGCTGTTTATCATGTATCCAAGACAACCAGTGTTTTCATAGTATCCATGGCAACATACCCTAATAAATAAAGCCTGGTAATAATACTGATCTATGAGAATGTGCAGATTTTAGCAAATATGTCAATTAAACACCAAAAGTTGTATGAAGAGACCACCCAAATAAAAAAAAATCATAATACATGATTTGTTTCTTATATTCAATTTTTTTCATTTGTAGCTCTGATCTTGGTTTGTGAACTGTTTCTCAACTAGGATACAAATATTGGGAATAAGAGATGGCTCAAAAACTCAATCAAATGTCAATGCAGTTTATATACCAGGTAATTATCAAATATGACTAGGTCTGTTTTCGAAAAAATAAATCACTTCCCACTTTACTTCCCCACTTTTATTGTAACACCACGATGTGGTATATTAAGAGATAAGAAGCAAAACAATTCACGCCATGAGATGAAATTTCTTTGAGGATTAATGTTTCCCTTACCACTAATTTTTCAGTTTAAGAAATCCAAGATATAAATTTGCTTCCTATGAAACAAGAAAAACTGCATCAACTTCAGGAAGTTATGAATTCTTGAATCTTTGAGCAATACTTTGGTTTGACTGGTTTAATATGAGCAATCATGTGCCATACAAACACACGCACACACAAACATGCACGCACACATTAGATGGTAGACAAATCTATTACATGTCATAGATTGTAGTGATTAATAGGGAAATTAAGAAATGTCTAGATCTTGTAACCTTGGTCATTACATAAACAACAAGTATTCAACAAGTTGGAACAGATAATAAAGTATTATGCTATACAATTGGCTATACAATGCTTTCTTTGAGGAATATTTTCAACATCTCTGTCAGACAAGGTTCTGTGATGTTTTCTGCCAGAATGTCCTGGTTCTGCTGCAGAACTGAAATAATAAATAAGTTATATTTTTTTTTAAAAATCTGTTTCTTCTAAATGCTTCACATTTGTAAATAAATTAAGTAGTTCTTGGTTTTTTCTTTTTTTTAACAAATGCCTTCGTGCTTCTTCATCTCTTTGTTCTCAATCAACTGTTCTTCTTTAAATGCTAAACATTTTTCAAGAACTTAAAATGGACTCATTTAAATTTGACAGCATAGAAAACAAAATGTCAACAATAAAATACAAACCACACATTTTGCAGACAAATATTTACCTGTTGTCCATGATGGGGGAAAAATTAACTCTCCGTCAATTTCTTCACCAGATTTTTCTCGTGGCACTTTTGCTGGTCTCCTGGTGTGGTTGAAGGCTGGTCTATCACCTCCCCAAAAAAGAGAGCCCCTCACTTACACAGTAGGGGCACACCAGGTACTTGTCTATGGGTAATTTAGTAAAGGCATTGTTACGTATGGAGCCAGAATATTCTAAGCCCCTTCATCCTGCTGATATCCACTGGTATGTCAGATAGCTGGTTGTTATCCAGGTACAACTCCTCTAGGTTAGTCAAGCCACACAGTGCTATGGGGAATGTAGTGAAGGCATTGTCAGATAGTTCCAACACTGTGAGGTGTGGGAGGTTGGATATGGACTGTGGTAAAGAAGATAACCCGTCCCATGCTGCAGATACATGTACCTAAAAAGTAAAACAAGTTTGACAGTCTATTTTCCTCTGATGACAGGTACTTTATCTTACAATAACCAAGTCATAACTCAATTGTTGTTTTTGTCTTTGTCTGAAAAAAAAAGGGTAGAAAAAGAGTGCCATGCACTTCATTTGTTTGAATTAATCAGTTATACACAACAATATTGTATATGGTAATTTTTTGCCAACAAGTCCACCAATAATTTTTTTCCATGTGGTTTCACTTGACAAGTATTACTGCATCTTTAGATGGTGACAAACTGGAATATTTAATAATAATAATAATATTACATATATAAAACTGTTTATGTGACAGTAGTACAATGACAAAAGGCATGTGAACATTTACATGCATGTACTCTGGTAAATCTCGTATTTCAAGCATTTGAACTCAATGTAAATTTTGTTCAGTAGGCAGTAACTCTATTACCTTATGTAGATTTAATGTGCATTTGGACAAAACATGGGCTATGTGAATAAAAAATAGGAATACTGTAGACTGATGAAAAGTTGTAAGAATGGGGTATATAAAGGAAACTGTCTTAAAAAATTCTCAAATTAATGTTATAAATTAAAATAATTAATTTCACTTGCATCGCAAAAGTCTGTGATGAGAATTTTGGGTGGTTATTGTACTCAGAGCAAATTAATGAACTAAAATGGACACAATCTTAAAACTTTTTTTTACATAAAATGAAACTTAAGCAATATTTCTAATTAAAATGTATTTAAGAACTAAGTTTACATGAAATGAAATTTAGGCAATATATCAGTTCATACATGACATAACTTCAGTCTGTTAGTTCTGGATATCTATTAAGACAGCTGAAGCTTGACACCAGCTATTACCAACATTTCTGCTGCTGGAGGTCTTGGGTACCTGAAATATGAAACAATTAAGACAAACATGGCTATATCAAACTTAAGCTAGACAGTTTTTTTACATTTAGCAGAAACTGGGCCATACTGTTGAAATTTTTGAAATTGTCAAAAAGTTGTATTTGTTTGTTAGTCTTGAAGTTATGAAAATAATAGTGATTTCTTGACAATGTTTTTTTCTCAGAATGCTTCCTGCCCCAGTGGCAAGATAGTATGCATTAGAAAGCCAGCCAATCAAAATTGCCATTTAAAATTATAACTTAAGATATAATCACAAGGTTTAGAGGCACAACCTGAGTGCTAATGATCAAATAAGTAAGTGAATATATAATTAACAGAAATTACAAAGTTGAAAACTTTACTTTTAGTGTTTTTAAAACTAAGCTTCCTAAATGAGTATTTCCCAAATTGAGAAGATTCCTGTAAAATAAGTATCCAATAGGTGCCTATACAGGTACTTCCTACATCACAGTGTTAAACTCATTGAATAGAATTGATATAATACATAAAGGTATTATTGCTATGAAGTGTGTTTTTACCTTCAGGAACTTGTGCAAATGTCTCAGTTGCCTCTTCTGACAAATCAACCCACTGTGACTTGAGTTCAGCATCTCTGACATGTCAAATAAATAGAGCACATTCAGAAAAGTTGATCCCTGGACTAACTGATCTGATCAATTGGTTGGGTATGTTAATTGTTAGAAGCCAATGTCCAAATATTCAGATACAAGGCCCTTGTCTATTTTCGTGTGCCAAAAAGACAGATGCCTATGACTTACTTTAATATCAAAATCTTTGAAAGAATTATTCATGTCAACCCTATTAAATATTAAGATTATAAGATTATATTGTGCACTGGTTCATAAATCAACATGTTTGTTGTTGATGTCGTAGAAGTTCAATGTTAAAAACGAGGCCTGTATATCTGGGTACATCAAAATGCATTCTGGGAGTTTTCTAGGCCCTCTGCCCATCCCAACAGATCAAGCCGTTACACCTGCAAATTTCCTTAATTAAGTTATCTGTACATCACTGGAAATATCTACGTATTGTTCTCTTGACAGAAGCTATTAAATGCTTAATACACCATATGTTGGAGAAGATATTAATAATTAGCATTTATAATCAGTTCTGTAATATTTGGCCCTAATGATGAAAACTTCTATAACTGCTGCACCAACACTTCCATTTGCCTCATAGTATCTCTTCTACTGCATCCCCAGTAAAGTTTGCTTTGAACAGCATGTAAAAGCCGATATTAGAATCTTAGAATTTTTATAATATTCAGCAATTATTAATGTTATAGTAAATAATCCATTATGATTATGGACTGAGCAGAATAGGCAATTTTGATCGCTGTGACATCAACATTACATTCTAGCAATACAAAATATTGTAACCAAGAACAAAAAATCCCTACAAATCTTACCTCATCCTCTGTAACACTTCTTATTTCCTTGCAAGGTATTTGATTTCCCTGTCTGTATTTCCAAGTTCTTCTCCAGTTTCTTATCAGCATCTTTCATCAACTCTAATTCTCTCTCTGGAATGGTGTATTTGAATATTTTTAAATATTAAACTATGTTATGCATCTGTTCACAGTCTGTGGGAAGTTTTACTAAAATTATCCATATTCTCTCACTGATTCTAAAAGTTTCCCTTTATTCAAACTTGAAAAGGTCTTTTTTAAATCAAACTGGGCATTTTTCAGAAAATGTAGAGCACCTGTCATTTTCAGTAGTTATAATTATTGTCATTTTTTTGTTTCACAGTGTTTCCATCACAAAATACTAGTGGGTCTGAGATTAGAAATTTGCTGGGAAATGGAGGGGCTCAAAGCTAAAAAATATGTCCACTGAAGCAAGGCAAATATAAAGGCAGATGAAGAAAAGTTTACTGCCATTGATGTATTTGTGGGACAAAATGTTGGCAAAGTCACTCAGTTTCATCTTGGTTCACTCATCCTTTTAAGAAAGAGGGGGGGTGCCTTGGAAAGTAAGCAGGATATATCAATGTGCAGAAAATTAAACTTAAAGTTTGTGGCAAGGAAATCACAGGCGTTTGCAAAAAAAAAAAAAAAAAATTGTACTGCTGCTAATTATAATTTGCTGCTAATTTTACTAAGGATTAAACATCAAAACTTAATTTTCAATTATCAAATAAAAAAATTCAGACTAACTCAAGTTCTGGTTCTCTATCATGGTCTCCACCAGCTGCTCCTGGAGTTGTGTCAATTGTGACTCATAGATGGCAACACTGTCATCAGGGACTGAAGCTGTTTTTGTGCTCTCGTCCATCTTCTTGGATTTGTAGTCAGAGTCACTGGTTTCTTCTGTCACTGAGGACATGCGCATTCTGTTGGCTCCTGCTGAAAATAATGTTACATGTGCATAAAAGTTTAACAGTTTTATTTTTCACTTTAAATTACCAAGATTCACTAGTGGAAGTTCATCAAATATTGTAACTTTTCTGTGAACAACTTAAAAACAAATTTATAATTACAAAACTGACTACAGTCTAGTTAAAGATTATGAATACTGGCAGTACATGGTCACTGAATGACTTAAATATTCTGAAAACATAACATAAAGATCATTTGTACAAAAAAAAACACACCAGGATGTCAACATTTTTCTAAAGCTACCTCATCAATATCAAAACTGTAGGTCATTTTGGCCTCCTCTTCTTTGTACATGAGGCATGCAGTAAAATATAATATTTAATAGTAATATAGTAGTAATATATAAGCAAAACACATAAATAATTAAATAACACGATTACACATATATACTGTTCAATCACAAAAGTATACACTGATGTCAAGTCAATGAAGACTTTAAAGTTCTTAAAAATAACGCGATACTAAAGGGGGGGGGGTAAATACAAAGACAGTCTGATTTTATCGACAAACTGTAACCTAAGAAAAAAGTTTGAGCAAGGATGTTTACAGGACCCCCTCATCCTTTAATACATATTTTATCGTCATGAAAATGTTCATGTTCCTGCATCTTTTATTTGAGGAAGAGCGTTTATCTTCAGATTTCACAATATACACTGTACAGGTACATGTATATTATCCGCCCACTCAATGAATCTTAATCCGCACTGGTTGACCTACAAAGCAAGCTACCTCAGATATCTATCCACCGATGTAACACTGTAAAATTCAAACTAAAACTGTCTCTGTAAAACTTACCTTCCTGAAGGGAAAACGTTGTCCATTTGTCATGGTATGCACCCTTGCCGTCATCAATCGCATGTTTCGGTCGGCATCGCTTTGTTTTCGTTCGTGGTTTTGGAGACAGTCGATAGATGGCGAACAATAGCAAGTGGTACCATTTGCGCAGTTGGATTTTAATGTAGTTTAACATTGGCGGATTTAGAAGGGGTGTCGGGGGTGAGGGTGGGGGTCCTAACCCAACACTTCGATTTCTGGTCCCCTCGTGAAATTGAAATTTTGACTAGCTGAATCAAAGCTCTAAACCGGAGGGGGGGGGGGGGGGGCTTCAAATAATCTTGAATCCGCCCGTGTAAAAGTATGTACAGGTACATGTAGTTCGATAACAATCTTGTATATTTAATTAATATGAACATTAACACACATCGTTTACTTAAAATCCGGTAACTACATCAATAAAGAGTATTTTTGTCCATTTTGTCCATCTGGGATTTTTAGATTATCTACACTCGATATTAAGTTTGAGGTATAAAGGAAAGGTATGGCATGAGATGTGTTGCAATATTCAATTAATATATGTTTCATTACATTTAAAATTTTTCCATTCAATGTTTCTCTTTTTTTTTTTTTGTTCAATCTTGTTTTATTTTTTATGCAAAAAATTGCTTCATGTAATGTTGTTTCTCATGCAATATTATTTTTCATACAATGTTGTTTCATTTTTTCATGCAATAAAATTTTATTTCAATTCAATTTTGTTTCGTTTTTTATGAAATATTTTTTTATTCAAATTTGTTTGCAAATTTTCATGCAATATTCTTTTTTTTTTCATGCAATGTTGTTTCAAATTTTTATGCAATAATTTTTTTCATTCAATATTGTTTATAATTTTTATGCAAAGTTTTTCATTCAATTTTGTTTCATTTTTTATGCAATAATTTTTTTCATACAATGTTGTTTTGTTTTGATACAGTGTATGTTTACTACCGATAGATTGTGCTTCGTTCTATGCATGCCAGTAATAGGACATTCAGAGTACAATGTCTTTCTAGCGTCAACTTTCACTTTGACACTATTTCACGCCCTATCAAACTAAATTGCATAACTTAAATATATCACATTTACCATCTCGCCCACTCTTCAACATCAATTAACGAAATAAAATGACAAACGCAATATGTAGGTTATCTGGTATTAGGCCAGTTAAGGCCGCTTTTATTTTTTCCAAATCCAAAATGAGATGTATTAAATTTTATTTCAACAAATTGGGAATGTGTTCAAAATTGTAATCGTCCAGCGTTATTGACGTCATGAACATTTTCTTTTTGATTGTGAAGCCAAACAATTAACCCAATCCTTGAGACATTAATGATTTCCATTTCTGCCTAATACAAAATGCAATTTCCGTAGTACTGGTAGTTGCTTCCTAACAAAATTATGCTTGAACCTACTTACTATCGAAAATTTAGTTTACCGAATTTCAATTATATTCAGCTAATTTCCGATTAACAAAACGATTACCGTAACCTTTTGCTTTACAACATGACAAATTTACAATATTTACAACATTAGTAATTCACAACATTTAAGAATAGCCACCGGATTCTAGAACTCTAGCCCAGATTACATTAACTGCTTTCCGTACGGCATAAACCTTTTAGCTTGAAGATCGATACGTTGGCGGCGCAGCTGCATATTTTTTTTCACCCGTGGTCGGAATAATAAAAACAGTAATTAAAATTCATGCAAGTGAATAACACAATTTCAAACTGTGGAGGTAGAAGGCAGCCAACATCCTAAAAGACAAGATACTTGTATATATAGAGAGACTGTAGTTATCCCCCCTAAACCACCAAAGGTGGAAGGGAACCAGTCCAACAACATGTTTTATCATTATCACCATCACGGCAAGTCCACCGCACAATGTCCGATAATGTTACGGGCTTGTAATTTCAAAAAAAAAAAAAAAAAAAAAAATGTCAAAAAACTTATCTTGACAAAATTGTAGAGCCTATGGGTCTATTCCCCCAACTTTAGATCGATCTACCCCCCCGGGGGG